GAACCACCTGAACCATGTGGATGCCGTAACTCCACAAAGGAAAACAACCTGTGGTGCCAGAAGAAGAGATGGATGCCAGGAAAGCAGAAACTGTACCAGCACAGCCTCTGACACCATTCCCAAGCCTGCAGGCTTCCTTGTTCAGCCCAGTGATGTGTCTATGTGTAGGTTGGGACAGGTGGGGAAGTTGAAATGGGTTCCAGGGGATGTCAATTTCCAATTAATTGCTTTTATGGGTGATGAATTCCTCTTGGTTTGATAAACACAGGAGCACAGAGTGACTATTATACCTTTTAACACAGAAGCTCAGAAACCAGATCAAAAGCTGTTCTGAGCACATAAAGAACAGGTATACACTTTAGGTTCAAGGTTTGATGTTTAATGATCTTTGGTCTGGTACCTCACATTACGGCTTAAACTGGGGATTGGTGAAAATGCCTCTCCCTTCTCATGACCGAAAAGCAAATGAGCTCTGTTAAGGATCTGAATGGGTGTGAAGGGAATCATCAGCACTTACGGGGTAGAGTGCTCTAAAAGGGATGAAGCAGTTTAAGAAAATTTTGGTGAAAATTTATTGGCAACCTTTCCACCTCTGGAGGCTAGAAGTATTCAGGGGCTGAGTCACATCTGACCAGGTGGGGATGAGAACAGTGAACAGGGATAATAACCATACTAAAGAACTCCCTCCAAACACCAACCCATCACAGGATGGTGTTCGGATGAGTTCCTAACACCAACTCATCACAAAGGTGACACCAACAGTGAGCAGGAGATGGAGGTTAAAAGGGCCAGAACAATCTGCAAAAATGAGACCACCTGCCTAAGGCTGATCCTCTGCAGAATCGGAAGAATTCTAGACTCTACCTTTCTCTTGGCCAGCTGCCGAGAACACAGTAAGACGCTGCACAACAGGTTACTCAGCCTGCAGAACCTTAGGGCCCACGAGAATCACAGGGTCTGTTTGCTCCAGGACTAGCCCAGGGAGCCCACAGCTTGGTAATGGCTGACTGTCTCAGAGGTAGTTGAAAGCTCACCTCATTTCCGGCTAAGAAAGAAGGTGCTTCCAGCTGCAAGAGTTCAGAGGTGCTTGTTCCCTTCCTGTCCCAGAATATGGGCTTTGGAACATTCACCTGCTGTTCTGATGTATGGAACGGGACAGGACCGAGCAGAGTGCTGAAGAAAGAGCTGCATGCGTTGTCCATGAACTTGAGGTCATAGTGAAGGCAGAAACTGGAATTCTGGCTGTGCTCCCTAAGTGTGAATACTAGAGGGGTCAGGTGTTTAGTTTTCATATATGTGGGCCAGTTAAAATGTGCGGCATTCCATAGTCACAGAATGTCATCTCTAACACCAGCTTATCTCTGCTAAGAAAAATTCCTTGCAACAGGAAATGGAAGAAAGAATATGTAACTTTGGAAACCCCCAACACTACTCTAGGAAAAACAAACCACACACACACACACACATGCACACACACATACCCAGCTGCCTAAGAAAAGTCAGTGGTTTACTGTTATAGAAGACATTTGAATACATGCAGGCACATTTATATCTACTACAGCTCGGCAGAGGCACATGTTTCTCATTCAGGGTCTGCCAGATCCATTGCCAATTCATAACAGCACAGAACACTGAAGTTTGGAGTTTCACACTGATGTTTAATATCAGCCAGACACGCTGAGCTTGTAATAAACAGTAATCACATGTACACAGAAGCAGGAGTCAGATTTTTGTAGACAGAATACAGAGACAACAGGGTACTGAAGCAAACTCATAATGCTCTTCATGCCTTTGCTTTCAGCTTTTGAAGCACTAAAGCCTTAGCGTTACCACAGCAGCCACAAGCAGCAACACTGGTCTCTCAATAGCTACGTTGATTTTCATCTAACCTAGGAAAGCTATAATGATAAACAATCTAAATATTTCTGGCTGAATTTTTCCTATCACACAAAGCCTCGCCCTTAATTATATTACTCTAATTAATTTAGCAGTGCTCTGTGCTGCTGAAAGTTCATTCCTGCCCTAGCAATGACCTCAGCCCAAACCAGTGCTGCCATGGGGAGTGCTGCCCATTAGCAGAGCGTTTCCTTCCATGGAGTTGGGATCATGGCCAGGATTGCAGGCTGGTTTGCTTCAACCCTGCACTCGAGGTCACTAAAAGTTTCCTAGAGGTGGTTGATCTGCTATAGTGCAGGGGTTTTCCAAGCAGGATGTTCTCATCTTCCAACCCTGTTCAGACCTTTCAGATGCTCTGCACAGGCAAGGGAGGAAGCTGTTAGGAGAAAATGGTTCCAGAAATACCAGACAAAAAGGATTCAGCAGTCACCTTGTTTTCTAAAATTCTCAGCCCTGAGCCTTGTCACAAATCTAGATGAGACATGGTCCATCTGGAGAGCTGATAACTTATAACCGTAGTACTGAAATGAAACCAGAGGATCTGATTTCAACAACTAGCAATAACCATGAGAATTTTGGAAAGGGATTTTGCTTGTTTTGGGAAATTTTGTCCCTCATCTTTAAAACACATAGTGGCAGGGGGTGCTTGGAATCTACCAGGTGCAGTGTATCTTTTGTTTTGTTTTGTTTTCTTGGTGCTAGGGGTGAAACCCAGAGCATGCACTCCAGTGCTGAGCTACACACCCGATGCTTTCTCTTTTTAACTGGAAGCACATAGCGCGCTGGTCATCTGGCTGGCACTGGAAACCCACCTGACTCTCTCACACTGGACTGTGTAATCAGTGCATCCACAGTTCTGAAAGTCAACAGCAGTGCTTCAGGCACAGAAATCAACTCACTGGAAATAAAAACTAGGGCTTCAAACTACGGAGACTGCATGGGCTCCTATCCAACCCTAAGCTGTATAGATGTGAAACCGAATACAGGATTGACTTGTCCACACGGAGGGAGACACTACTGATCCAACTGCTCTTTAGCAAGCAACTCTGAAAGGCTCAGATGCAAACAAGGTCCTGGCAGGGGGACCCAGATGACAGGGGACAAATGGAAGGTGGAAGCTGGTAAACATGCAAGTGGCTTGTAACACTGGTTGGTTTGTCAGCCTGGAGCAGCATCTGGTCACCTTTGTATTGCTGCTCATTTCCAACCATCCTCCCCTCTGAAAATGACTCAGCAAGCTCTTTGAGTTTACAGCGTTTGGAAAAAAACAAAATATCACAGACAAGTGAAGTGTGGAAACTTTAGTGTACAAGAATCAAACAGACAAAAGAGCTGGCTTTTAATTCTTTAACAAAACCTCTGATTGCTTTTAAAATAGAGAAGCACTATTTTACAACTGTGCCAGAAATCCTGGGTCCACTGACTTAAGGAAGAGAGAGCCATCAATGCCTATCTTAGGTTTAGCTTTGGCTTACTACCCATGCTTAGTTGCCTCAATGATCACCCTCTGAAATTATGTGGTATAGCAGGCAGCAGCCATCTTTCCTCTCATCTGTTTCCACCTATTTTGGCACTCCAGTGAGCATTGGTCTGGTCCCTTCTGTTGCCAGCTTACTATCTTCATGGCGAAGACCATATTCTCCATTAGCAAGGACAGGATTAGATGATCTGAGTGGCCAGGAAATTAAACAAACTTCTGCAAAACTCATTAGTTTCTCCACACTACTGTCATCTTAAGGGTTGCCAAAATAGTTCCTCTGCAAAGATCTTGTTTATATATCAGTGCAGTGAAGTTATGCACACTTAGGCAAATTAAACACAAAATAAATAAAATACAAAGAAAAGAAAAAGTGAAGCATCAATAATATTTTAAGTAGACATTTCTGTCTGCCATTCTCACAGTGAGCATGGGTAGGGGTAGGGTGGGGAGCGGACAGGATTCCACTGTTCCCTTTGTCACACTCCATGTGAGCAAGCTGCTGTGCTGAGTGTAATCCTAGTCTATAAAGACATGGATAACTTGTTCAATATTTCAGTTTACCTAGTATTAGCCAAAATGAGACCAAAAACAAAACAAAGCAATATGTGTTTCATAGAAGGGGACACTTCCCATACGCTATGTCTAATTAAGGGGGGCTTTGGAGGATAATTTTTACTATCTTCTGAATTTCACTTCTAACTTACAAAATAACTCCTCTGTGAGGTGCAACTTCACTGAACTACAAAGTAAACATGCATTTAGTGCAACAGTATTCTCTGGTCCTTTCCAGATCCAGGCCTCTGCTAATCTTCTGAGAACAATTAGCCCTTAAGAGACATGCTTACTGGTAAAAGGAAAGTGGTATGATAATATTTAACAATTGATTTGCTGAAAGGGGAAAAAAAAGTGCCTTAATTTGCAGCATTTGCTATTTTCCAGGGTGTAAATCCTCTTACCATCACCAAATTCAACCAATGTCACATTACAGAAGAGGAAGTCAGGAAGCCATGTACACAGTGGGCTCTTGCTACCTTTTAAGAGCTGATAGGGTGCTGGGGTCCGTACCACAATAGAAGACCCTATAAATCTACACTAGATTCTAATCTGACTCTATGTATTTCTTCCTGGTGGAATTCTTTATTCCTATCCAATCAGGCTTTTGGATTCTGACCTATTCATGAAATTTTCTAGCTCTGAAGACGCTTCCTATGTCTAATGTCTATTTGTCACAGTGTAATCAGAAGGAGTATGGGAAAAAAACCTCGCATTCAACTATTCCTTTTAAAATGAAAACAAAAGCCAATTAGAATAACAATTGTAGCACTAAAAGCACAAGATACAGCTTGTCTAATATCACCCTCTCCTCTTAGAGGGATAAACTGAAGCAGGGAGAATTGTTAGATGACTGCTCAGGGCCACATAGTTAATTAGTGGTGAAATTAGAACCCAGGATCGCAGGCCCAGGACTCTCTCCACTGGATTGCACTGTCTCCTTTGAAGGACATTCATTCACATTTTCTAATTCATGAGGTGTGGAGGGGCAAGAAGTATCAGCTCTTCTTGATGTGGATAATCCAAAATTCCTGGCCTGAGGTGCCAAGAAATGTCCCAAGATGTGAGGACATCACAGGTTGTTATTCTGGCCATCCTCTTCCTGTGGGTTTTTGGGTTGTTCTAAGGCTACGTTTGCTTGCCTTTGATTAAAGTCTCTTTTTACTCTTAAGAGAAAAAAAGGGAGTGTTATTCTTTGAAAATAAAAACTAAAAGTTTAAATTTTTGAAATAACACAAAGCCCAACAACTTATAGAAGAATGAACCAAGTAAACCTTAAAGAATCGATTGTATTTACATCTCATTTCCTCTGTCATTCCCATAAACACCTAATAGTAGGCTAGTTTGCCTATCAAAAATTCAAATCCCTTACAAGAAAAGAGGGCTTCTAATTTTTCCAAATTTTTATGATAGATTTATATTATTTTTATAATTAGAAAAATAAGTCTGGGCATGGTGGTACATAGCTATAATCCTAGCTATGCCAGGAGGCAGAGATGAGAGGATTGTGGTTCCAGGCCAGCTTGGGCAAAAAAGGTAGCAAGTGCGGTGTGGTGATACACACCTGTGACAATCCCAGGTGGGGAATCGAGATCTGAGATTGGCCCTGGGCAAAAATGGACTCTACCTGCAAAGTAAGCTTAAAGAAAAAAGGACAAGCACTTGTCTAATAGTGGGAGAACCTGAGTTCAAACACCAGTACCACCAAAAATAATTAAGAAATTAAAAAAATAAGTAAAAGAGAAAGAGAAAAAAAAAACATTAAAAATATAAAAAGTCTCTGCAAACCAAGTATTCCTGAAATACTACCATTTTTAAGCTGCTGGATTCTTAGGAGTTACTTACTTTTCTCTGTTGAAAATTATAAACTCCTTCTGGACAGATGCAAGATGCTCTTGAAGGAGATATGTCTTCAAGGGGAACATTGAAAAAGAATAGAAGTATAATTAACAGACAAGCAAGAATCTTCAAACACTAATAACCTACAGTGTCTCTCCAGTGAATAACCCTAATCTAAGTAGTACTAAAGTAGCTTCAAAATGGAAGTGCTCTGAAGAAAATTTCGGGAAGACGGTAGAGGAAGAATTGTCCCCACCTAGACAATGGCACTGGCAGTATCTATCTGTCTGATATTATGATTTTGGAACTATGGAGTATGCTGCAGTCTTGCAATTTCCACTAGGTCATGAGTGGTAAAGTACAATTGATCACTACTAATTTCATCTCTTAAGCAGAGTATCAGCCACCTATCACCAGCCCTCCAGGCCTTGGCAGGGAACTGAGCACATGTCCTTGAGCAGCTTGCATACAGCTTGCAGGAGCTGTGATGAGAGATTATGACTGCATCCTCCAAATAGTGGGGATCTGTGTTCTGATTGCTGGTTGCTGATTCTTATCAGAGAGGCACAAGGAGATGGTGGCCACTGTTGTTGTAACAAATTTCATTGTTACTAGTCCCTCCACATCAGGTCATACAGATGACCCCTCAACAGAACCTTCTGTAGGAATTGTAGCCGTCATGAGAATGCTACCACCTGAGTGTGGTGTGGATGGACCTCCTTACCTGAGAGGAGTCACATTTCCTCATCTCCTTCTCCTTCTTTGCCAGACGCTTCTTTTTCTTGTGGAGAGGTTTGGATTCTAAAATCATTTCTTCAAGTTCAAAGGTGGGGTCACAATTCAGCCTGCCTTTCTGCAAGGAAGAAAGTTTGGCTCAGTCAACCTCTCTTCCTGTATCATTTCTGTATCGTTCTAAAAACTCATCAGACCTAATATGGAGAATAATACTTAGTATGATTGGTGCAGTCCAAAAATAATAAGCTTGGATTCCCATTCTAAGTTTTATATCATTTATTGCCAACATTATCTTTCTTATTCTTTGATTGTGTATACTTTTGTTTAAGCTTCCAATTAGCCTTCAGCATGTAAGACTGGAAACCACATTAAAATTGTTTCTAAGGTGTGAGCTTTTGGATTTCTCAAGTTTTTTCTAATGACTGTGTAGAGCTGAGTCATCTTAGTTGCTTGTTCAGGTTCCCAGCTCTCTCACCAGGCTTCTCAAATCAGGATTTTTGAACATGAGACCAAGAATCTTCCCTCTAATAAACTTCCCCAGATGATTCAAATTCATAGTAAATCCAGACAGCTGTAACATAGAGCTTCTGTTAAGGCAAGAGGAATAGCTAACAGGAGAGGGGGAAGCAGGATTAGGTGGTGCCTAGACCTCTATGGAGTCCTACATCACCTATGGTAGAAGCTGTTTGTTGTGAGAACTTGCAAAGTGGACAGGTACAAATTTCACCTCACTACCCTGTTGCTTCATATGGTGGAGATTTGAACCCTCAAAATCCCACAATGCTGCTCTTTCCACTCTCCCTGCTCTATCACTTGACCCACTCACTAAGACACCCAGCTTTCTGCATGAACAATCACACTCTCTTGTGCCCAGAACTAGCACCTCACTAGAGCTTGAACAGAAAACTTTTGAGTTTTTTTTCTGCAAGCCCTTGAAAGTACACATTAATCTTCCCAGTGGTCCCACAACCAATGCATAATTCAGGACCTCAGCAGAGACAGAGGTTACCCTAGGGCCCTTGGCCTACACTTTTACCAGCAGTCTAAAGTGGGACCCAGATGTCCCTTGGTTGGTACTCACTCAGTTGGAATTATTTCTCTTTGGTGATTAGCCCTTAAAAAATACAGATCCATGAGATAAGAGTTGCAAAAGAAGGTGAATAGTAAAAATTAATTACCCTCATCTCAACAGTTTTCAATTCTCTGACTCACAGACCTTCATGGATACAAATTACTACATCTTTGGAATCATAGGAAACATTTTGCAACCAAGAGATTCACGGAAGTGACTATTTAGGGACTAGTACTTCCTTCCAGTAAAGACACTGCACATAAAGTGGTTAGGATCTAGAACTCCAGCTTGGGCACGTATTAGCTGTGTGATTTTTAGTGATCAACTTACCCTATGTGCATCACACTTTCCTCACCTGTAAAATCAGTATTTGGACTCTTTCACAACACTGATAACGATTACAACGTGTAGACTTGACACACAGAGTAATGTGCATTGAATGAGAGTTATCACAGACTTCTTAGGATTGACTCACATTAGGAATAAAACCTGGAATAAGCCTCTTCTGCAAAACTGCATCCCAATTCATATCATTCATGTATGGGAAGTTCTGAATGTCAGTCAAGTGAGAAAACCGTTGGTCTGGATTAGGTTCAAGTAGCTGTCAATGGAATACAAACATCAAGGTGACAAGGAAGGTCAAAACCTAAGGAGACAAAAACTCATACAAATTCTCCCTAGGTGGTTTAATTGTAGAACTGAATGTTCCAGAGCAACATCCCCCTTCTTCAACCCCATATGCAAATAATGTAGCGAGTACATGATTAGAGTAAACACTAGAAGTAAGGTTCGCAATGATCAGTACAAATAGCTTGTCCTACTCAATCAAACATGTCTTCGATTTCTGACTTCTCTACTTGCTAACTATGGGCAAGTGTACTCTCTGAACCTGAGGTTAGCAGGCTGTAGAAATAGAATGTTAACTTATTCCCTAATGTTGCAAATGTGATTAAGTGAGGCCATGTATATAAAGAGCTTAAAAGAATGTCTGCTCCTATTAGGTGATAAGTGACCATACACTTTCCCAAGTCACTAAAATGTTTAGCTATTTTTGCATCTAATTGGATACATTAAAGGTAGCACAGATAAAATGTAAACTAAATTTTTGGGTTTTATTAAATGAGATTAAAATTTTTTCCTCATTACTCACTCTCGAGTTAGTTCTACATCAATGATATTGCTCAAATGGGCAATGTCGCTCCCACATGGGAACAATCCTGGAGAAGACAAGGGCGGAACATCAGGGTGAAAGTCTGGGGCGAAGCAGGGCTGTCTTAGAACTAAAAAATATTTGCCTATAGAAAATGACCACAGTTCTTCATCTTAGACATAATTAATGACCCTGTCCTGTTCCAAAACAGGGAACTTGACCTCAAAAACAAGAAACACAGATTTTAAATCTTTAGTCCCTAGAGTTCTTCTCCATTGCCAGCCACAACCTGTGCAATTTTCTCTTCTTAAGAAAAACAAATCCAAGCCAATACTCTTGGGCTCCTCGATCTTTGTTTTCTATAATTACTTAACATACACTATTAAGATGTTTTTATGACTAATTAAAATACATTGAAAGTTATATAGATAAGGTATAACTGAAGTTACTTCTATACTGTTTGGGTTTTACTAAATGGGATTAATTAGTTTTATTTTAAAGATTAAAGATAATTGTTTTCATTTTGTTGGTGAACATGGGAACCCTGAAAATCTGATAAAAAGCTATGGACCTCATTAATTCAAACACTTATCAAATTTTACTACTTATCAGGGTCTATGTCAGCTGCTGAGAATATCTGGTGCACAGTTAGGCATGGTCGCTACCTTCATGCAGTTTATAAGAGAATAACCATTCACCCAAAGGTCATACAAAACCTACGAATAATTCCAAACTGTGAAAAATGCTACGAAGGAAAGATGCTGTTAAAAAGCTTACAACAGAGGGTCCCCAAGAAAATGATATTTGAGCTATGATCTGAAACTGCTTTTCAAGTTATGTGGAAGAGCTAGTTATTTTTGTCTTCTGTTTGCTTACATTAATTTTTGACCCATTCAAAGCAGCGTGTGGTATTACTGTGCGTGGCTAGTACGATGTTCCACACATGCAGAACTTGTGACTTGAGTTCAACATCAGCCAAACAAGCCTGTGTCTGATTCAATGAGACAAGTCCACTGACCATGTGCTTAGATTCTAAAGCAATGTCAAATGGTCACAAATGTTTCCGAATAATTTTCTTAGATTTATGCTTACAGTGGACTTATAGGAAGCAACTCATGGACCAGGCAGTGACTAACACTGACTAGTACTGATCTCAGAGAGAAAGATGGAGGAGATAGGGCTGGAGGCAATGGTCCAGGATGGACTGAAGATGAAGATGATGAATGAGTTCTGGTTTCTGCTTGCATAAATGAATAGATGGAGGGGCCAATCACTGAGAGAGGGAACATTATAAGAAGCTCAAGAAATACAGAGAGATTATGAATTTCATTTTGGACACAATTCATTTGAGAAGGCTTTGAGATTTCCAAAGTGCTTGTGAGTTGAATTAATGAAGCCATTTATCTGAAAGCTGTTAGCTAAAACGACCATTCTAGAAAGGTATATTGTCCTGATTGCCACAATATTATGTCCTAACTTCTAACCTTAAGCCAGAAAGAAGCTTCCTTTTATTGATTCCTTTTCACATGCAGTCTTCCTTCTTACCTTCTTAAGAAGGGACACCATTTCCTGTGACCAAGCTGAAGGATAAGTCACAATAGCTGTTGCAAACATGTGCACAATTTCCTTGCTGGAAGTACTGGAGCGAATATGATATGGTCTCTTAGGGGAGAAAAAAAGTAAGAGGCTTTATTTTTACAGGACAAACGAAAAAACTGTGCAAATACTTACAAGCTAAACTTTCACCCAGTTAAATGTCAGTATCAATTATAATCCCTTCCGGCTGATTGTTATATTGCCATAGTGTATGTGGTCAAGCTTTGCCAGACCTCCTACTGTTTTTAAAGAGATGCCATAAACATATAGTTTCTCATAAAATATCATAATTTTTGAAAATTGGCAATTCCACAGATCCAAACAAAATATTTCAATGGGTTGAATCAGTCTCTGAGATGCTGATTTGAAACTGTTTTTATGAAATAATATTAGTATTTTCTTATATTAAATCAGACAATAAACCCAAATTATAAAAAATATTATATAAAGGTTGATTATAAAGAGATCCAGAATTTTACCATACCTGTTTTTTTACTTGTTTGTAGTATAATGAGGGAGTTCAGGACAGATAACATCAACCCCACCCCCACATGCTGGAGGTACCTTATTCCATGGAATATAATGTGGGGATTTTGCAATAGGACAAAGCTTCAAAAAACAATTATTTTTCTGAAAGTACCAAGTTCATTTGCAGCTTTAATTTAGGGGGAAGTAAACAAAACTGGATTTGTTATGGTTTTCCCAGATGTCCACTAGAGGGCAGCCTTTTTTGATTCTGTTTTGTAAGGAACTCACCAATACTGAGTTTTCATGTCTTTTATGGGAACTGTAAGCAGGGTAAAGTCAAGAGAGTACACCATATTCATAATCTTTTCCAAGAAACCCAGCACCTAGTAGGTGTTCAACACGTTTGTTGAATGAACAACATTTCCACACTAGAGTAACCACAGGACAGTTAATATGGATAGGCACCTTATTCACTTTACAAGTGATCTCTGACTGGTGAACTAAACTGGGGGAGAGGACATGGTTCATATTTTTCCCTGTAGTCAGTTGGTGTTAAGAAGTACCATAACATGATCAAGTGTTTGAGCTCTGAGGCAGAAGGATTTTGCTGCTTAACTCAGTCACTCAGTTTCTGAGCTTTAGTTTCTTCATCTGTATGATAAAGATACCTCCTCTGCAAAATGAACCACCTCATGAAAGTGCTGGGAAATTACAGGAGATAATACACATAAAGAGAGAGTCTAACACCCATTACACACAATACAGGAGAGAGGTCTTTAATTAGAAAAGGACAGATATAATTGTGAATAGTGATCAACAAGACGCATCTCCAATAACGATGTAAAGAAAAAATTCTACACACAATGAATCCATGCCAGTGACTCCAGAAACTATGAAGTACCAGGAGGTGACCACAACAGGAAAATTAGGCCAAGCTTTTCACTCATTTATATATAATGTCTAAAACCAGCTGCCACCATTTTTTTCTTCTCTCAAGACTATTAAAGGACCATAGCTAAATTGTTTGTCTCGGTAATAACACTGGAAAAAGGCTCCAGCTGAGTGTCAAGAAGGGGTGTTAGATGTGTTGTCACCATCACCACTGCTAACTGACTATAACTAGCCTGTGGGTACCCTCCAACACCCCCACAGGGTTCACTCCATGTGTACCGTGCAAGCGTAACACAGACAAGCTTCCAGGACTGTATGCACAAGCACATGTATTTTTTTTCCCTAAGTTTTCTTCTTTATTTCAAGTCACTGATGCCTTTAAACCTATTGTCTCTTGGCCATCTAGAAAACAAAATACTTTGATAGACTTGAATTCATTAACCTGGGAATACGACACGCAACTATTTCAAGAGTGGGTATTTTTCTTCATTTACCATATAACTGAATTTAACATCAAAAAAATTCATTATAAAAATGATCAACCTGTCTTTATCTTATTCATTAACTTACTTTACTTTTCCTATTTCTAAATTTGAAAATTCACTTTAATTCATCAACTACCAGAATAATATATTTATTCATTTTCCAAATACTTTTTGAATAGCTCATATGTTCCAGAAACTCTGTTGGACACTGAGAAAACAACAAGACAAATTTTATTGCTGTGTTGGTGGAGCCTAGAGTCTATGTAAGGAAACACATAAGTAGTTTACATAGACTGTGTACATACACACACTCTTTCACAAAGAAATACAATGTACAGGGTGAACTTGTTCAAAGCACACTGTACACATGCATGGAGTCACTGCAATGAAACCCCTTTGTATTAATGATATATGTCAGTTCAAAAATATA